CGCCAGCCCCCGCTCCCCCGAGCCTATCCCGGGCTCGGCGGTGCGGGGGTTAAGGGCCGGGCCTTACGGGCAGCCCCTCACCCCTCCGCCGGCTGCCCCCGACCTCCCTCCCGCCCGTCCCTCTCCGTCCGTCCGTCCGTCGGTCCGTCCGTCCCCTCGCAGGCCATGAGCACTACCCGCAGGAGAGGAGGCAGCACTACAGAGGCGCCGCGACCCGCGGGGCTGCAGTGCTGGCTCCTTCCCTTCAGGGGACGGTGCTGCGCACGAAAGCATTGTTCTCCTCCCTGACCCCCAAATCCCCCCCTTTTCTTTTTTTTTTTTTTTTATTTTTTTTTTCCCCGCCGGGCGAAGGGGAGCGGGGAGGACCGGGAGGGAGGAGGAGAAAGACTTTACAAGGTCCCTCGCCGTCGTTGCTTGCCCGAAAGTCGCCCTCGTGGCCAGCCCTGAGGGGCGACCTACAGCCCTCTGGGGCTGGCCCGGAGCTGCCCCGGGAGAGCCTTCCCGCCCCCGCTCCTTCTCCCCCGCATCCACCCCGGCTCCTCCGACCCACCGCCAGCCCCGCCGGGCTCCCTTCGCCCCCCACTCGCCGTGAGTGGCTCTTCCACGTGTCCCCTCGCCTGAAGACCACCGCCGGGGCTGCCAAGGCACCTCTGCCCCTTTCGGTCACCCCAGCTTCAGGTTTCCACGCGGGATCACCCCCTTCACGCACCCACGGAGGAAGGGGGGGGTGGGCAAAGGGGGAAAGAAACCCCAAAAGGCTCCAACGCCAGGCGCTGTTTGAGGGATTGGTCCTCAAAACCGCTGCAAAGCGTGCGGGAAAGGGGACACCGGGATCCACGGGAGATGGGAAACCGGGATGCAGCGGGAAATGGGACACCAGGATCCAGTGGAAAAGGGGACAGCGGGATCCAGTAGGGAATAGGACATGGGGATGCAGCGGGGAATGGGAAACCGGGATGCATGGGAGATGGGACACCGGGATGCAGCGGGAAATGAGAGGCTGGAATCCAGTGGAAAAGGGGACACCGGGATCCAGCGGGGAACGGGGAAACGGGGATCCACGGGAGGCTGCGATCCAGAGGGAACGGGGAACCGGGATCCAGCGGGGAAAGGGGAAACCGGGATCCACGGGAGGCTGGGATCCAGCGGGGAACGGGGAACCGGGATCAACCGGAGGCTGGGATGCAGCGGGGAACAGGGGAACCGGGATCCACGGGAGGCTGGGATCCAGCGGGAAACTCAAAAGCACGCGAAAGGGAAGGAGCGGGAGCGACAAGAAGACACCGAGGGGGAAGAAAAAAGAAAAAAAAAAACCACGGCTCGATTTAAATAATTGCATAATATTAGGATTTAACTTATAAATGTTTACATTCGTGCGATTTGATTAACGTCACGTTTCATTTCCTCGGAGCCGCTGACGAGGCGCTTTAAAGCACCAGATTAGCGGCTCCCGGCGATATTCAACAGGCGAAACCCCCCCTTAAACCCCCCCCACCCC